AAGTAATTAAAATTTCTTATTTTTACGTAAATTATATAATATCTTACATCATAATTAAAGTTTAGCTATATTAAACTCCATCACACCCACGGATGATTTACGTTAAATCTTATTCAATGACGTTTCTAATTAAGATTATAGTACATTAATTATATAAAAATATATCAATTTTATTACTAAATAATTAAATTTCCTACCATATATGTCAATTACGTCATATATACGTCACAATCGAAGTTTAATAACATCGAAAACGTCACATTACATCAAAGGGTTGACGTATATTAAAACGTGTTCAACGCTGTTTCTAATGAAGATTTTAGTGTTTTTATTTTATGTCTAAACAATTAAATTCTCTTATTATTTCTATGTGTTACATCACAATGTAGTTTAACGACGTCAGAAGAGAGAGAAAAAAAAGTGAACCACAGGAGGGATGATTTAATATAAATCACGTTCGAGATGCTTTATACTGGGGGGTTTTTTAAGAAGAAGAAAAGAAAATTCCCGTGGTAAATTGATGAAAATTGGCTTTTATACGTCTCATTCTTCGATTTTCGTAGTCAAAAGGTAGGAATTCTTTTTTAAAAAAGAAAGAAAAATCGATCAATATCGGGGTTTTCCTTATATTGAGTGATAGATCCCGTTTAATATGGTTTCCAATCCAGCACGTGAATGTGTTTCTAAATCTCTCTAGAGGGAAGACAACTTTACAACCCCCCTATATAACGCTTTATATATATATATAAAGCGGTATAAAGGGGGTTGGACAGTTTTTTCTCTTTACTAAACTCACACAAAAAGAGAAAAGTTGTGTTCTAAGTGTAGCCATCCGAAACAAGTGACAGTTATTTGCAGTATAACAAAACATCATTTATCATTGTTTTTCTTTCTTTCTATAACGTTTTCTCCTCTTTTTTTTCGACTGAAAAGTTAGAAATTTTTTACTTTTTTTTTTGACTTTTTAAAAATTTCTAATTATGTCCGATGCAATTTCCTTTATAAAAAAATATTTAAAAATCAATCTAAATTTCTATTTTTTTTATTTTTTTTATTTTTTTAAAGCTTCTTCTTACTAAAAATATGTGATTTTTAATAACATAAAGTCGTTAAACCTTGTTTATTTTTCTTGTTTTTTTTTGTATGAAAAGATCAAAGATTTCATTAATTTTAAGACGTTTTTAATAATAAAAATGGCTTAAAAATTAAAAATAATAGTAATCTTATTTATTTTTAAGCTTTTTATACTATTTTTTTCAATGGGAAAGGTAGTAAGGGAGGGATATACACGTGGTTTGTAACTTATGAATGGCACTAAATTTCGCCTTAAAATCGGGGTTTTATTCGTTTTAAGCGGGTTTATAGTAAAATTTTCGATTGGAAATGATAGAAAATATTGATTTTTAAAGTTTTATTTATTTATTTTTCAAAGAAAAAAAGGTGTACTCGACTAGTAAAGGGAAAGATATACACGTGAGACTTACTTAGTATGTAAATTGAATGTCACTAAATTTCGGGATTTTTATTAATTTTAGCAGGGTTTATAGTAAAATTTTCAATTGAAAATGATAGAAAATATAATTTTTTAACATTCTATTTTAATTTTTTTTTCAATAGGAAAGATATATTCGCCCAGTAAAGGGAGAGTTATAAAGGCGCAACTTGTATAATTAAATGCAATGGATTTAGTCTTAAAATCGAGGATTTTATTAATTTTAACCGTTTTTATATTAAATTTTACGCTTAAAAACATTAAAAAAATAATGCTAAATTTATATTTTTTAACAATTTATTTCGATTTCTTCAATAAGAAAGTGTTACTCTCAATGTTGGAGACGTGGTAGAGATGACATCCTACGCTCAAGAAATTAATTTTAAAACGTTTTATAAAAAAAAATTTCCTCTTAAAATGTATGAAAATAATAAAATATATATATATTTAATATTTTATTTTGATTTTTCAATAAGAAAGACACACTCGGGCTACGTGGGAGATATAACGGAAGGGGATATTTTCGCGCGATTTACTGAGAAAATTGTAAATTTTTTCGCTAAAAGAATAGAAATTCCCTTAAAAAATTGCGTTCTTTTCCTAAATATTTCTATAAATAACAGTTTGGCTGCATTTTTAAAGCAAACATTTAGCAAGGTTGGCTTGTTCTTCAGTGTCAATAGCAATGTTCTGTAGGGAAAAAATAAGAAAAAAAAAGGGAAAAAAAGAATAAAGAGAGGGGAAAAAGGGAAGAAAAGAATAAAAAAAAAGGTAAGTCTCTAGCCTCAATGATAGAATTCAATACAGAAACTGTGGAAATTGTCATGAAACAAAGATTTAAGACCGAAACGAAATTGTTTTTTTTTTCAACTATATTTACAGGGGGAAAAAACAATTTCAAAGCCGAGAATAATTTATTGTTTTCTTCCATTTAAAAAAATATATAGGCCTATATATATTAAAACTAATTATCATTATTTTTTTTAAAATTTTAATTATGATTAAACTTCAGTAAAGATAATTAAAATTTTAATTACTTTCGCCGCATAAATGCATTTAAAACTTGAAATTAAATTTGCTTTACAAAGAAATGTGTCAACAGAAAATCTATAAATATAATTAATTAATTAATTCGCTATTTATTTAAATTTTTAATAATTAAAATCTTTTATAAATTATTTAATTATTTATTTTAATTTATCTTTTTTTTCTTCTTCTTTTTGGAGAAATTATAACGATTTTTACAAGGTGAAGATGCTGAGACGAGATAAAATGTAGGATTTAAAAATATAAATTATATTTCTAAGAAAAAATTTAATTGATAAGTGAATAGATTACAGTTAAATTTAAATATATTCAACTAATTTTTACTATTTTATATCCTGAAATTTGATTCGTGCAGCTATTAATAGACAGGTATGAGCGTGTGATTGAGAGTGTATATGTGTAGTTTTTCTCTTCCTCTACCAAGAATTCCACTGAAATTTCTCATATTAAATATAATTATCGTCATTACTGAATAATTAAATAATAAAATTACCTTAAAATTTAAATAAAATCCCATTATTATACTCTTAAATCGGTTTATTTAGCTAAAGATAATGCGGATAATAGCACGAATTTATGAATATTTTTGATGGAAAAAACAGAGGAAAAAAACGTAAATTTTTACGTCTTATAAACTATAATTTGGTTAAATATATATATTTTTAACTAATTATATAAGTTTTAAGCCATTAAAACTTAATAAATCCAAGTATAACGAGCAAGCAACTCGATTAAAAAATGTTCATCTTTAATCACTTACAGAGCTTGTTTTTTGTTTATTTAATTAATATTTTATTGTTTAAATAATATTTTAAACAATTAAACTTGTAATATTTTTAGTTATTATAAGAATTATACGGAAATTTTTCATGTTATTGGTGTATGATTAGGGAATTTCCATTTTGCTTTTTTTTTTTTTTCCTTTGGAAACTTGAATGCTTACTCTCTTATGAATAGGTTAGAATGGCGATAACATGAGTTAAACAAGGCATTAAACGAGTGCCGGCATTTCTACTAATGCGAAAATTAAACATTACTTAGTGTTGGTTGTTTTAATTTTCGAAGTTTTCTCAAAGAACTAATGACGTTCGTTCCCATTAATTGGAAAGTTTCATCTGAAAAGATGAAAATCAAACTGAAAGGATGTTTGTATTTACTAATTTGAAACAATAGAGAAATCATTAAAATTAATTCACTATTGTTTCAATTATAAAAATAATAAAATAAATATGATTTTCACAGCTATATCTACGAAAGTTCCTTATAAAATTGGGTTAAAAATATAATTTTTATAATTATTCTTTTATATAAACTATATATTTTTTTTAAATTTCGTACGAAAAATATCATAGGAAATCGTATTCTATAATTATGTTTGTACATTACAATATTAAGTTGCTATATTTATGCACACACACATATATATATACAATTTTTATACAGCTCAGCCTATTGGATGACATGCTAATAACTAACACACAAAAGACACTCCAAGAAAATGATGCTGTAAGCCTTATATCCTTTCAGGAAGCCAATACTTTACATGAGATCTATTCATTGTATAGAAGCCATTGGTCCTCTGGTCTATGAGTAAACTATGATGATGAGCTAGTGTAAGAGTATCACAGAAAGGAGAGAGAGTTTTCCTCTTCTCCTCTCTTATATATTTGACTAAAACATGGAATTTTTCTAAATTATCTCCAGAAATAAGCTTACATTAAAGGTAATAAAATCGCATCTTATGTTTAATTTTTTATTATATTTAAATTGGGGATGAAGTTATGGAAAATTGAATTGGGAGCGTGTATAATATTCATTTTTAACGTTTTATATTTAATTCTTTTATTAAATTAGGTCGGATATTTTGATTATTTGCTTTCTTCTACAGCAACACAAGTCCCGTTTGGCCTAATTTTTATTTTTATTCCGGAGTAAAAAAAGTTTAACAGCTGACACGCTTTCGTCTAGAATAAAAATTGGCCAGATTTGGCCAATTTTTTAAATGTTTTTTTACTTAAAAAAAACGATAATAAAACGTCTATCCAATGCTAAAATGTATATTTGAAACGAAGAAGACAACACTTTATCCGATTTTTTTTTTAATTGGATTTTAAACATTTGCCATTAAACTAATAAAGGAGATACACGAAGTAACTTGGTTTGGTTTCTCGCTTCTAGCAACGCTTAGAACGTTATCTCTAGCTTTTAATCTATTCATTAACGTTTGCTGATTGGTTAATAACCGACGAAATTCATTTAAATTCAAAATTTAACCTTCGTTACGATCAACTTTCAAAGGTTTCTTCCCTTACTCGATTCGTATAGGGAAAAATTTAGGTTTCTCTCCTTACTTTATTCGTATAGAAAGAAAAAAAAAGAATTTTAGGTGTTTCAATTATAGAAAATAACGATCCGGGATAGAAAAAAAAGAGGATGATAAAACACGTGCTTAACTACTTACCTGAAGCTTGTTGGATTAAGAACCTCAACCAGGTATTACCGGATCCGGGAAAGGAAGCTAAGGCTACTAAAGGTCCAGGTGGTACACGAAATTTAGCTTTACTGCACACTTTAACGGCACGACGTGACGTCAGTGGTACCAGCCCACCGGAGGCTAACATTCTGGCCACAATGGCCTTTCTATCCGGTTGCCTGTCGAGTAGATTGCTGTCTGTTTTGCCTGTTTTTCCCAGGTATGCTGCCTGTGCCGATCTCTGCAGTTCCTGTTCGGCGTTATGATCCAATTGCCTCGATACCACTACCACAAATAATATTAAATATGACGAAAGTACCGTGGCTATCATACAGCATGCCACACGTCGAAAGTTCTTGGTTCTGTTCGTCCTTCTATCGAGAAGTGTACGCTCTCCCCCCATCCCTGATTCTGTCTTGAACGCATCCGTTCCTAAGTTCTACAGACCGACGGATCGATACATTGTACATCCAGCATTCCCATCCGCAGCTGCTCGTCACGTGATTAGAAGCGAGCGCGCCAAGGTTGACATTTGGGAGAGGAGACGAGTTCGGCTTTCCTGCGGGACTTCTGTTATAGCAGTGAACAATGCTTTACAGGGGCCGCTTCCCCGTCATTAACGATGACGAATGCCACACGAATTTCGAATTTTCTTCATAACTCTACGTCGTTTACCTTATTTAAATAAAGAAAACATATTTGTTATTTTATACAAAAAAAAAGATAAAGATAATTTTAATTAAGATAACGTCGTAGTTTTATTTTATTTTTCTTCTTCTTCTCTCTTTCTATAGAATCGTACGCGTGTATGGTTAGAGGAATTGATCGTTTTAGCTAATATAATTTTAAATTCTACTTTATCTAGAGAATATTATAAAAAATATTAGATGGTAGACAGTTTAATAATAGTGAGGTTAATGAGATTGACCAGGAATTTAATGATATATCTGAATATAAAGTGGTAAATTTTTGGGTGTGACACGTTAACGAACATCGAATAAGGTGAAAGGTATTCGCTTTTTTTTTTCTCTCTCTCTCTCTCCTCTCCCCCCGAAAAATTCTTTCTGGTTTTGATGATTCATCAATCACAGAACAAATCATTGCTTAAGCTTCATTATAATAACATCTGGCGTTGACAGAAACTCGAGATCAATGCAAAAAGATTGTCAGAATGTCCTTTCTTACGAAATAATAATGTTTGCCATCGTTTACTAAGATCGAGAAAAATAGCAAATTTACTAAAAGATTCATTGCTCCTAAGACAATTTATTTTTAATAAGGTTAAAAATTTAAAAAATAAACAAATAAAATGATTTCCTTATAAATTTTCATAGTAAATACACAAAAAAAAATATCTGAGAGAACGTGTGTTAATTAATTCTTTAAAATTCATTTAACTTTTAACGTCATCTGTTATTGAAAAAATCAACCTACTTTTGTTATTTTATTTGCATTTTTATTAGTTTTTTTTTATCTCATAAAAATTCTCGAAAATTATAATATTTTATCCATCAGGGCCTACGAGAGGGAAGGGAAACTGGAGCTGTATCCCTGATCTGTATAGCAACTAAGACCACAATTTATATAATAAAACTTTTAATTATAAAAAAAACAATACGATAAATCGAGAAATAAGGCCTTTCCACTCCTTTAGGGCCTTTTAACGATTTTATCTTACGTTACTTTACGTACAAGGAACCTTAATTTTATTTATAAGTATATATAAAATGAATAGACCATCAGACTTTTCATATAAAAACTTTAATAGATTGGTTAATTATTAAAGTATAATGTATATAATTTTAATTTAAAATATATATATATTATATTTTTTCTTGTAGTTTTTATTATTTTATAACTCTTACACAAAAATATGAATGTGTATATACTGTATCATAATCGAGTTAAAGAGAACATTCCATTAATAATAAATGATGAAGTGGAACGATTTTTTTAAAGGAAAAAAAAATAAGAAGGAAGAAAGAGAAGATATGGATGTGGAAAATTTAAATTTAGATAGTCTGTTGGTCAGAAGATATAGCAATATAAAATATAATGTCTCGAAATAATGAATGGAGTAATTTCTGTAATGTATAACCAATGCAATATGTCTTTCAAAAAAGGAAATTTGCATAAGTATAATGCATTATAACTCACTCTTAGGGTATGTATTTATATACATACATCATCTATTTCTTAATTTATATGGATTTATGAAAAGTATGAAGTGTTCTCGTATGAATAAATAAGAAAGATTTAATAAAATAAATCATACCCTGTCTCTGGCAGATAATAACGTGAAGATGTATACCCTGATATATCCTCGTTTACCTCGTTAATTAAGACGTTTACACGTACAACTAATTACTTTACAGCATGGTATAAGGCTGTATATCTTAATTAAAATGTACATATTCTATAGTTAAGTTAATTTTCACCGTATTATAATATTGAAATTGGCTTTTGTATAATTTCAATAGCTTGGTGCTGTGTAAATATTCAATTTGCTTCCATTCTATCACAAGAATTCACTTAGAATAAAATATTAAATATATATATAAGATTAAAAATATGACATTTTCTTGTCTCTAACACTATATTTTATTGGCTGTCTTGGGATATTTACATTGATATTTTAGTAAATATTTAGAATGATCAGTCTTGACGTATGGACTAACATATCCATGATCCCACTTGTACCATATTTATATATAATTCAATTTTTATATATTTATATACCATAAATCATTATATATGTGATATATTGTTTGTTTCTTCTTTTTTATCGTTAGACTAATGTATCGCAATATTATTTTTTTCGTCTCTCTTTTCAACACACAGCTACCATCTTCTAGGTTGCTATATTAAATTATTATTGCTCCTCCACATCTATAATTTATCATTTTATTATATTTTCTTCTTCTTTTTCTACTACTATAGAGTTGATTTTATCTACTTTTTCGATATTTTTCTCATTTTAAAAATAATATATCTTGATTATTTTCTCAGCTGGAGAGAAGTTTATAAAGGATAATCACGATATGACTCCATTTTATTGCGGTAGATGAGTTCGCATTAAGATTGTGTTTTTAAAAAAAATTGTTTTTAATTGGATAAAGATGTAGAGCAAACCGTTCTTTAGAATTGTAGAGAAATTCAAGTGATAGGCTACGTGATAAATTATAGAATGTCTAAGTTTAGAAACCTCAGAGGAGAGAATTGAGCAACCAATTCGAGAAGATACGCGGCAATAGTTGACGTTGCATGAAACATTCTTGAAAGGTGCACACGTCTGTGTCTTATAAATGAAAAAAGGAAAGAGCAATTCTTGGTTCATGCTTTTCTGATTTCGACATATCAAGTGACTTATACTCTCCACTTTTTCTCTACATTGTCACGAAATTCGAAAAGTTTAGTCTGTAACCTTTTCTCATTTCTTTTTAAAGATAGGAATTTCTATATATATATATACACGCGTTTTTCTTTTTTTGACGCAATTTTTTTACTAGGAGACAGTAGAAAGTGGTCTGGATTTACGTCTCCGACGTTAAAACGGGGTAAGAGAAGGTTGTAAACATGATTAAATCTCGTTTTATTCGCTGATCGATCGATTTGACGATGCAAAAACAAACGAAGAAAGCTTATTTATATATCAAACAAATGTATAAGTCATTCTATTCGATGTTATTTACATTAGTTAATTGCCATTCTACTCGGAATTTACTGTTCTGTCTTACAGAATATAAAGGAAATACAGACATGGATAAATCTTTAATAGTGTGAGGTGTAATGGAACTGCATCACTCAATGATCTCTTTCACTATTTTCATTCTTGGATTTTCGCACGCTTGGTTTGTTTCACAAAGTCTCTTTCACTCTTTAATGTCACTTGAGAGACTTATAGACTCATTGCAGTCATTCAATACATTGCATGCTCCATTTTGCTAAAGATCAGTACTTCGTGAATGAAAGCAATTAGAAAATATTTCGTTTTAAGCTCCTAATTTAGTTCCCATGCCTTAAAAGTAAGGAATAATTATTTAAATAAATTGCATAAAAATTTTAAATTATTACAGCCGAACCTGTAATAACGACCACCTCTCAACGGCGGCCATTTTTATTGAGAACTTTTCTCATGAAATGCATACAAAATAACCTCCAAGCAACCTCTAAACGGCAGCCCGTTTTATTCGGAAACTTTTTTTAAATTCATATAAAATAACCTCCAAACAACGGCCAACTGTAAACGGCGGTCGTTTCTTCGGGAACATTTCTTTTCGAAATGATTTTGTTATAAATAAATGCGATTCTCATTCATTAACTTCTCTATAAACGCTATAATTTCGCCCTGAAGGACCCGGGTTTGAATTCACTTAATCTCGAGCCATACTATTTGCTAGAGGATGTCACGTGGTACGGACTAGTCCTGCGAATGGTCTTGCAGCATTAAGTTCGTATTATAGTTGCATAACCGTAGTTTTTATTATTTTATAACTCTTACACAAAAATATGAATGTGTATATACTGTATCATAATCGAGTTAAAGAGAACATTCCATTAATAATAAATGATGAAGTGGAACGATTTTTTTAAAGGAAAAAAAAATAAGAAGGAAGAAAGAGAAGATATGGATGTGGAAAATTTAAATTTAGATAGTCTGTTGGTCAGAAGATATAGCAATATAAAATATAATGTCTCGAAATAATGAATGGAGTAATTTCTGTAATGTATAACCAATGCAATATGTCTTTCAAAAAAGGAAATTTGCATAAGTATAATGCATTATAACTCACTCTTAGGGTATGTATTTATATACATACATCATCTATTTCTTAATTTATATGGATTTATGAAAAGTATGAAGTGTTCTCGTATGAATAAATAAGAAAGATTTAATAAAATAAATCATACCCTGTCTCTGGCAGATAATAACGTGAAGATGTATACCCTGATATATCCTCGTTTACCTCGTTAATTAAGACGTTTACACGTACAACTAATTACTTTACAGCATGGTATAAGGCTGTATATCTTAATTAAAATGTACATATTCTATAGTTAAGTTAATTTTCACCGTATTATAATATTGAAATTGGCTTTTGTATAATTTCAATAGCTTGGTGCTGTGTAAATATTCAATTTGCTTCCATTCTATCACAAGAATTCACTTAGAATAAAATATTAAATATATATATAAGATTAAAAATATGACATTTTCTTGTCTCTAACACTATATTTTATTGGCTGTCTTGGGATATTTACATTGATATTTTAGTAAATATTTAGAATGATCAGTCTTGACGTATGGACTAACATATCCATGATCCCACTTGTACCATATTTATATATAATTCAATTTTTATATATTTATATACCATAAATCATTATATATGTGATATATTGTTTGTTTCTTCTTTTTTATCGTTAGACTAATGTATCGCAATATTATTTTTTTCGTCTCTCTTTTCAACACACAGCTACCATCTTCTAGGTTGCTATATTAAATTATTATTGCTCCTCCACATCTATAATTTATCATTTTATTATATTTTCTTCTTCTTTTTCTACTACTATAGAGTTGATTTTATCTACTTTTTCGATATTTTTCTCATTTTAAAAATAATATATCTTGATTATTTTCTCAGCTGGAGAGAAGTTTATAAAGGATAATCACGATATGACTCCATTTTATTGCGGTAGATGAGTTCGCATTAAGATTGTGTTTTTAAAAAAAATTGCTTTTAATTGGATAAAGATGTAGAGCAAACCGTTCTTTAGAATTGTAGAGAAATTCAAGTGATAGGCTACGTGATAAATTATAGAATGTCTAAGTTTAGAAACCTCAGAGGAGAGAATTGAGCAACCAATTCGAGAAGATACGCGGCAATAGTTGACGTTGCATGAAACATTCCTGAAAGGTGCACACGTCTGTGTCTTATAAATGAAAAAAGGAAAGAGCAATTCTTGGTTCATGCTTTTCTGATTTCGACATATCAAGTGACTTATACTCTCCACTTTTTCTCTACATTGTCACGAAATTCGAAAAGTTTAGTCTGTAACCTTTTCTCATTTCTTTTTAAAGATAGGAATTTCTATATATATATATACACGCGTTTTTCTTTTTTTGACGCAATTTTTTTACTAGGAGACAGTAGAAAGTGGTCTGGATTTACGTCTCCGACGTTAAAACGGGGTAAGAGAAGGTTGTAAACATGATTAAATCTCGTTTTATTCGCTGATCGATCGA